AGTACTCAAACTGCATCTCCGCAAGGTTCTATGAATCAGGAGGTGCAGAAGCAGAATGTCGGGGTTAAGACAAGAGCCCAGCAGGCGAGAGTTCATGTGATGACTCACCAGGAAGCTGTGGCTACCGATGTAATCACGGGTACTTGCCTGCTAATTCTGATTATGCACATGTTTTATTTGATTTAGGTGCATCACACTTTTTATTGCTTGATCGTATGCTTTGAAACGAGCTTTACCTGTTGATAATTCTAATTTTGAACTGCATGTGAACACCCCTTTAGGAGGGCTGATGACTACTAGAGATGTGTGTAGGACGGTAGATATTATATTGATGGTAGATAATTGAGTGCTAGCTTGTTTGTTTTAGATACCTCAAATTTTGACATCATTCTGGGGAAAAATTGAGTCCGAGGTATATTGGACCATATGTTATCCCAAAAAGAATTGACGAGGTAAAAGGTTAACCATTTCTAATTGGATATAAGTTTTAGATTTTATCTCCTAGATTTGAGTTTTGGGGACAAAACTCCTTTTTAGGAGGGGTGGATGTAATATCCCCAAATTTTCTAAGATATTTAAAGGTGAGTCATGGACTTAATTGTGAGAGAATAATGTTGTTGGCCTTAATAATAGAAACTTTCAAAGTTCAGGGACTTAGAAGAAAGGAAATAGGATAAGGATTGACTGATTTCTTTTCCTCTTTTCTTCTTCCCACGCGTGTCCTGCTCTTCCTCTTCCTCCCGACCCTCTGCAACCCGACGAGCTCCCCAGCTACCGCCACCCATTTCCGGCCGGGAACGCGGGTAAAACTTGGAGATTTCTCCTCCTTTTCTTGTTCTAGAACACCTATTAAGCCCAAAATTTTCCAGATTTGGTCTGCTCTTCCTCCCCTGTCCACGAGCTGTAGCTTGTGGTGTGAATCTCTGTGCTATTTTCGGTAAGCAACAGCCATGAATTACTCTCTTCAGCTCTAAATTGGCTTGGGTTCACTCTAATTGCTTTTATTTCTGTCAATTTCGTGTTAGTTCTCTGCGAATCCCGCCCCTGCCATACCCGCCAGATTTGGTTCTGCTTGCTAGAAAATTTCGGTGAGATGATAGTTCCGTAAGCTTGGATTTTATCAATTGATTGTTGCCTTGAATCTTCGAATTTCCTGCCTTGATTTGTCCTTGTACTGTTCGGATTTTCTGCTGAAAAAGGGAAGAATTCCGACAGTAGTGAGATGATTTTTCTTTGCTTAATTCTTGTAGGAATTAGTTTAATTAGGCTGCTGTGATGTTTTGGAGAGAAAAAAATCCTGTGTGTGTGAGTTGTGGTTTGCCAAGCCATGCTCTCCATGTGCTGCCCGCGAGTAAATGGGAAAATTTTATGTGTATTATGCAAATATATATAAATGCACAATTGATTTTGTGCTTGATTTCGAATAGAAAAATGAATAAATAAATAACTAGGGTATTATGGGGGCTAATTGCCGGTTAAATTGGGAAAGGATTAAATATGTCGTTTTATATGGGTATTAATTTTGGAAATATTTTGATTAGGTATTTGATTATTCTGCACCCTCGCACTTGGGATTAGTGTTCTGGTTGGTGCGATTTGAGGTAAGTAAATTATGGTAACGCCTTTTGATTTTAAAGCATGTTTTAAATTGTTTTTGAGATGGTAGCGATGTTTAAATTGATTTTAAACTGATTTTATTAGCACCGAGCATGATTGATTTGAAATGGAATTGTTTTCATTTGCATTGAGTAAAGCAGGCCACTTGGAAATTTCTGAACTACTCTAATAATTTGAGAATTTTTGTAAATTATGAATTTCCTGTTAAATCCATGCTCACATGGAAATTTTCGATTATTTTTGGAATTTGAGATTTGATTGTGGATTACGGATTTTCTGTAAATTCTGCATGGTTTTGTCTTTGATATAGTCATGATTACTGACGCCCGCTAGTGGGAGTTTGCAAACACTAGCACATGTCGACATGTATTTCTGTAGAACCGGTTCATCCTGTCAATGGGGTTAAACATTGGTTATTACTGACGCCTACCAATGGGAGTTTGTTAAACACTGGTACCATTACTGCCGCTTGCCAGTGGGAGTTTGTTAAACACTGGCCATGACTTATAGATGAGACTACTAATGAGTTTTATTATGCATGAATGGTTTATCATTGAAAGTTCTATTATGCTTACATGATTTATCTGGCATGCTTAAAATTTTTTATCAAGGGCTATCCATATTTTACTTACTGAGATATTTTATCTCACCTAGTTTTTCCTTGTCCACCATTTCAGGTAGTGATACCCGACACATGGGGAGCCGGGGGAGTAACAAGCTAGACGGCTAGGTATTGTTTTGCACTTAGATCTTTTGGAGTTAAGCCGCTAGTCTCACATGGTTGACCTAAATAACCATTTTTGTGTACAAAGCTTCCTTGGTTATAGCCATGACCGTTTATAAACTTTTGTATATCTGGAATAGTAAATTTTTAGTAATTAAAAGTTAGATTTTACCTGAGTTTTTAGATTTGAATTATCCGAATTGGAAATTTAAGAACTCAATAAGTTCTGAACCTTGTGCATTTGTGGGACCTGTTTACGAGTGCACGGCGTCTGCCACGTCTTTGGATTTGGGTTCTGGGACGTGACAGATTTAGTGGTATCAGAGCTTAGGTTTAATTAAGATTTAGTGGTATCAGAGCCTAGGTTTAAATTAAATACCTAGGATTTGTTTGGAACTTGGCTAGCCAAGGGATTATAGGAACGTGGTGAGGCATGAGAGTGGGGTTGATTAAGAGCACTTATTTGATTCTTTTTATGTGTGTTGGAATTATTAATTATTATGTTATTTGGTCCCGGAAGTGGGAACTTGCCGGGTCATTCTCAGTTGGGGCACTTGATTAATGATCTATAAACCTTCTGTGTGATTATAGATGGCTCCGAAACGACGTGGGTGCCCGAGGGCTGGCCGTAAGGACTCGGGCACTCCTCCGATCCTAGCTGCCAATCCCCCTACCCAAGCTGCTCCTCAGGAGGGAGGGACGAGCAACCCTCAAATGGCCACTTTCTTTCAGGAATTTATGGCGGAGATTAGACGCCAAGTGTCTCCTGCCACAAGTGTGCCACCTCCATCCCCAGTGATTCCCACCTCGGCGGCCCTTGCTCCTATTTCTCCTATTCCTATCTCTTCTGCTCCGGCTGTACCTAGCTGGAAGATTTATACCGAATTCCAAAAGGTGGTGACTAGGAGATTTGATGGTACAGCGGGTTTTGAGCAAGTAGGGCCATGGTTTACCGAGGTGGAAAAGGGATTCCGCCTACTGAAGGTTTCTGATGACCTTAAGGTTGATGTGGGCAGCTAATACTTACAGGTGATGCATTAACTTGGTGGGAGACTTATTTGAAGCTACACCAAGGAGAGCCTGAGTTGAGCACCTGGGATGGGTTTAAAAGGGTGTTCATGCAAGAGTTTATACCCGACAGCAAAAGGCCGGAACTGCAAAGAGAATTTGCAGATCTAAAACAAGGGTCATGTACTGTTGAGCAGTACAAGAAGGAGTTTGACCGCTATCTGCCTTTTGTGGGTGGTCAAGTCGAGGATGAGCAATCCAAAGCTGATAGATTTTTATGGGGCTTGAATCCTGACATTTACCTGGCGGTGAATCAATTCAAACCTGCCACTTATAGAGAGGCAGCAGACAGAGCCATAGATCAGGAGAAGGCTATGGTTAGAGTCAAGACACAGGACTCGCAAAAAGTTGGGTCATCTTTTAAGAAGAGAAAATTTGATGAGAGTTGTAGACCCTCAATCTCTGCACCACCTAAGTTTGATACCAGCGAGGCTTCTAAAGAGCTAAGGGTTGCCAAGACCGTGGGTCAAGCATCAGCAGCCCAACGTACTTAACCTGCCCCACCTATTTGCCACACTTGTGGAAGAGTGAGCCACATTCACGACCAGTGTCGCATTTTTACTGGGGCTTGCTTCAAATGTGGCAAGCAGGGACATCAGGTTGCAAATTGCCTGCAGTCAGACCCCAGAGCTCAAAGTACTCAAACTGCATCTCCGCAAGGTTCTATGAATCAGGAGGTGCAGAAGCAGAATGTCGGGGTTAAGACAAGAGCCCAGCAGGCGAGAGTTCATGTGATGACTCACCAGGAAGCTGTGGCTACCGATGTAATCACGGGTACTTGCCTGCTAATTCTGATTATGCACATGTTTTATTTGATTTAGGTGCATCACACTTTTTATTGCTTGATCGTATGCTTTGAAACGAGCTTTACCTGTTGATAATTCTAATTTTGAACTGCATGTGAACACCCCTTTAGGAGGGCTGATGACTACTAGAGATGTGTGTAGGACGGTAGATATTATATTGATGGTAGATAATTGAGTGCTAGCTTGTTTGTTTTAGATACCTCAAATTTTGACATCATTCTGGGGAAAAATTGAGTCCGAGGTATATTGGACCATATGTTATCCCGAAAAGAATTGACGAGGTAAAAGGTTAACCATTTCTAATTGGATATAAGTTTTAGATTTTATCTCCTAGATTTGAGTTTTGGGGACAAAACTCCTTTTTAGGAGGGGTGGATGTAATATCCCCAAATTTTCTAAGATATTTAAAGGTGAGTCATGGACTTAATTGTGAGAGAATAATGTTGTTGGCCTTAATAATAGAAACTTTCAAAGTTCAGGGACTTAGAAGAAAGGAAATAGGATAAGGATTGACTGATTTCTTTTCCTCTTTTCTTCTTCCCACGCGTGTCCTGCTCTTCCTCTTCCTCCCGACCCTCTGCAACCCGACGAGCTCCCCAGCTACAGCCACCCATTTCCGGCCGGGAACGCGGGTAAAACTTGGAGATTTCTCCTCCTTTTCTTGTTCTAGAACACCTATTAAGCCCAGAATTTTCTAGATTTGGTCTGCTCTTCCTCCCCTGTCCGCGAGCTACAGCTTGTGGTGTGAATCTCTGCACTTTTTCCGGTAAGCAACAGCCATGAATTCCTCTCTTCAGCTCTAAATTGGCTTGGGTTCACTCTAATTGCTTTTATTTCTGTCAATTTCGTGTTAGTTCTCTGCGAATCCCGCCCCTGCCATACCCGCCAGATCTGGTTCTGCTTGCTAGAAAATTTCGGTGAGATGATAACTTCCGTAAGCTTGGATTTTATCAATTGATTGTTGCCCTGAATCTTCGAATTTCCTGCCTTGATTTGTCCTTGTACTGTTCGGATTTTCTGCTGAAAAAGGGAAGAATTCCGACAGTAGTGAGATGATTTTTCTTTGCTTAATTCATGTAGGAATTAGTTTAATTAGGCTGCTGTGATGTTTTGGAGAGAAAAAAATCCTGTGTGTGTGAGTTGTGGTTTGCCAAGCCATGCTCTCCATGTGCTGCCCGTGAGTAAATGGGAAAATTTTATGTGTATTATGCAAATATATATAAATGCACAATTGATTTTGTGCTTGATTTCGGATAGAAAAATGAATAAATAAATAAATAGGGTATTATGGGGGCTAATTGCCGGTTAAATTGGGAAAGGATTAAATATGTCGTTTTATATGGGTATTAATTTTGGAAATATTTTGATTAGGTACTTGATTATTCTGCACCCTAGCAGTTGGGATTAGTGTTCTGGTTGGTGCGATTTGAGGTAAGTAAATTATGGTAACGCCCTTTGATTTCAAAGCATGTTTTAAATTATTTTTGAGATGATGGCAAGGTTTAAATTGATTTTAAATTGATTTTATTAGCACCGAGCATGATTGATTTGAAATGGAATTGTTTTCATTTGCATTGAGTAAAGCATGCCACTTGGAAATTTCTGAACTACTCTGATAATTTGAGAATTTTTGTAAATTATGAATTTCCATTAAATCCATGCCTACATAGAAATTTTCGATTATTTCTGGAATTTGAGATTTGATTGTGGATTACGAATTTTCTGTAAATTCTACATGGTTTTGTCTCTGATATAGTCATGATTACTGACGCCTATATCATGATTACTGACGCCCACTAGTGGGAGTTTGCAAACGCTAGCACATGTCAACATGTATTTCTGTATTTCCGTAGAACCGGTTCATCCTGCCAATGGGGTTAAACATTGATTATTACTGACGCCTGCCAGTGGGAGTTTGTTAAACACTGGTACTTCTGTAACCCGTCAACATGTATTTCTGTATTTCTGTAGAACCGGTTCATCCTGCCAATGGGGTTAAACATTGGTTATTACTGACGCCTGCCAGTGGGAGTTTGTTAAACACTGGCCATGACTTATAGATGAGACTACTGATGAGTTTTATTATGCATGAATCTTTTATCATTGAAAGTTCTGTTATGCTTACATGGTTTATTTGGCTTGCTTAAAATTTTTTATCAAGGCTATCCATATTTTACTTATTGAGATATTTTATCTCACCTAGTGTTTCCTTGTCCACCGTTTCAGGTAGTGATACTCGACACATGGGGAGTCGGGGGAATGACGAGCTAGACGGCTAGGCATTGTTTTAGACTTAGATCTTTTGGAGTTAAGCCGCTAGTCTAACATGGTTGACCTAAATAACCAATTTTGTGTACAAAGCTTCCTTGGTTATAGCCATGACCATTTATAAACTTTTGTATATCTGGAATAGTAAATTTTTGGTAATTAAAAGTTAGATTTTACCTGAGTTTTTAGATTTGAATTATCCGAATTGAAAATTTAAGAACTCAGTAAATTCCGAGCCTTGTGCATTCGTGGGACCTGTTTATGAGTGCATGGCGTCTGTCACGTCTCCAGATTTGGGTTCTGGGGCGTGACAAATATTATAAACATATATACTTTGATTTAATTATCAATTCTAATACTAAATATTTATAATTAATTTATCATTATATATACATAAAATATATAAAATATTAATT